GTAAAATTTTGTATAATTACATTTTAATTTAAATGTATCAAGTTGGTGTATCACGCTTAATGAGACGACCAATACTATTTTTTATTTAAAAAACATATACAAATTTTTTTCTTTAATGTTTACAGAACTATTTGTATTAATTTAAAGATTACTCTAAAATGAAATATGTTATATAATGTTAATGAAGTTGATGTAAATGATATTCAAGAGTCTACATGTCACATTTCAGTAAAAGAATTAATATTTATAAAATGAGTCTAATTTTTAATGAAACTTCATCTGTATGTCTTTACAAATTCTTTTATAAATTTGTAATAATAGCAATTAGCTCATCTTTGAAAATTTACTAAAGTAATAATAAAATGATAATATAATACTATATGTTTTTTTACTAGATAAATAATTTTTGTTAATATTGCAAAGATAATTATCTCAATAAAATGTTTATAAAATTTAATTTCTCTATTAATAATATTTTTTAATTATATGATTATAGTATATACATTAAATAAATCTATTTTCTAATTAGTATTTTAAATACTAATTAGAATTTTTTATAAATAAAAATTAAAAATATCAACAAAATTATTTTAATAACTAGATTTTATTATTTTAATTTTACTTTTATAAACATCTTAATAAATTTTATAATTATATTTCTAAAATTTTTAATTCATCAAATTGTCTCTTTTAACTATTATAATTTTAATTTAAATTAATTATAATATTTCAGAAACTAATAGACAATATGCTTAAGAGTTTACAAAAATAAAAAAGATATACAAATATATATTAAAATATATAATTCTAAAACAAAAAAAGAATCTAATTTAAAGTTATTTTTTGAAACCAATCTTCATTTTAAATTTACAAATAATATAGATAAAAAATACTTAGTATATATATTAAAAAATTATAACAGATATAAATTATCTAAACATAATCCTTATTCAAAAAAAATATATATAAATGTGACTTTAAAGATCTATGAATATTGTAATAAAAATTGCAAAAAATTATTTTAAAAATTAGTACAAAACAATCAATTGTTGAATTATTTTTATTTAAATCTAAATGTATTAATAAAAATAATAATAAATATTATATTGAAATATATAAAGATTTATGATAATAAAAAAATATTTATAAAACTCTTATAGAACATATTTTAAAATGTATTAAATAATTAAAATCTTTTTATGAAATAATATTGATTAAAAAAAAACTTAAAAAAAAACAAAAATTAATCTTTTAAAAGATCTTAATTGCTATTAAGAGCCTTGTATAATCTATATTTGAAAATTATAGCATAGGTAAATCTAAAATTTATACTGACTGGCTTGTCAATGAAGTAACAAGACTAGCATTATTGCAAGATCATGTGACAATGCATGACCAAGTATATATCAGAAAGAATATATAAAGTCCTATGATGTAATGGAATTCTTTGAGAGATTGTTTTGTATAAAAATTCATATAAAAGGAAAATATGGATTTAAATAAAGATTGTTTGTTAGTATTTGTTCTTCCTCTTTGGTTTCACTATTGCTCACCTTATTGATAGACTAGCTTTATTATTTTCCACATAATATGAACATTGGGTAATAAATAAATAAATTAATAAAAAAGTGTTACAAATTATCTAAGCATCAAAATCATGTTAGTGGTCAGTTGAACAAAGTTAAGTTAAACAAGTGAAGGTATTTGTGTTTGTCTTGTAGTTTAGATATGCTTAGTAATAAGAATGAGCTAGAGGAGAGATTAAATACCCATTTTGATAAGAAAAAAGAGAAATTATTATCAAATTTGAATAATACTGATAGTAATATCAGATTTCTAGAATTAGTTGAAGGCCAAAGTATTAATAATGATAATAACCTAATTGAAGTACAGAGAGGTTTTGTTTCTGAAAATGAAGAATTTTTGGAATTAGAGTCATATTTGGGCAATAAATATAATTTCAGAAAACAAGCAGAAAGTATGTCTGAAATATCATACTTGAGGAATAAGGAGTGTGGTTAGCAGGGTTCCAAAATTAAAAGTCCAAGTAAGAAGAATAATCAGCATGTTGCTGAAAAAGAAAAGAAAATAATAAAAAAGACAGATATGATGCCAGTTGATGTGTTTCTTTTTACCTTAAATAATATAAAGAGAAAGATGTATTATAATTTTGAAACATTGCAAGACCAACATTTCAAAGAAATGGAACAAGAAAGTTTGCTAAGCAAAGCTTAGCCATGTGTTAAGTTGGAAAAGCCTTGTACCAATATGAATATAATTTTTTAATTAGAATTAGAAAATGGCTTAATAAGACCATAGGAAGACTATTCAAATATGATCAAAAAGAATTTATTGCTATTAAAAAGGAAATTGAATCATGTACAGTTACTCTTCAGTTGGTGAATAATAGAGGATAAAAAATGGCATTAAAAGTAGTTGGAGGAAATGACAAGATGATGTAAAAATATAAAGACCAAATTGAAATGGTAATAAGCACTTTATCTTCAGTAGAAGCAAATACTTGGAACTACAGTAGAAAGTTTTTTAAAGAAAATTATAGAAAGTCACAAATTAAAAAAAAGTATAGGGGAGAATTTGTGTCTACTACTTCAGAATTAGAATCAGAGTAAAGGAAGTTAGTTTCTTATAATAAAAATAATAAAAGAAAAAATAGATACATTTTTTTTACAACAAAAGGCCACATAGATCAAATAGATTATCGAAGTTAATTGTATGTCATAACTGCAGAGAAATTAGGCATATCTTACCCAACTGCTCTTTAACTAACTCAAAAATACTAACAGAAAGATCCTAACTCAACAAGATGATTGATAATGCTCAAGAGATAGCACAAACAAAATTAAGCTTGAAAGAGGTCGATGTAGAGCACTTAGTAGTAGAAAGAATTCATCAAATTTTATTTTAAGCCTATTGGTGCCAAAAAATCAAGCTCTCACCAGTAATTTTGACTGGTTAAAGTATGAAGTGCTGCTTTGGCCAAAAGGAGTTATGCCTTTAGCAGTAAAACCAGATCTGAAGCAGTATTTAATTAATATGAAGCAGGCAGAGTGGGTCAGAAATAAGTTAAAACATTTGCAAGGAATGAAGGCAATTTGTTAATTAGAAGACCAGATAAAACAGCCAGATTTTTTATTTGAAGTAAGCTTAGTATTCTTTGTACCAAAAAAGAGTCTGAAAAAGTAGCAGATGGTAATAGATCTAAGGTGATTAAATGTTACTTTATCAGAGAAAAGCTTCTATTTCAAAGGGTTGGATAGCTTTTTATACACAATTAAAAAAAATTGAAATGTGATCATGATGGATTTAAAAGAAAGATATCATCATGTTTTGATGATAAAGTATGCACAACATTTTTTGGGATTCAAGGTTTTGAGCAATTGGTACCATTACAAAGTACTGCCTTTTGGGCTGTCATAGGCAGTCTGGATTTTCTCAAAAATAATGACAGTGATTATAGGCCACTAGAGGTCTTTAGAAATTTTTTGTGAGAACTATATCAATGATATTTGGGTAGTGCATCCTTGCAAGAAAACATTGAAGCAAATAAGAGATGCAGTAATAGAAGTTGATTTGATAAATTGTGGCTTTGTAAGAGCACAATGCAAGAGTCAATGGGAGCCAACTCAGCAACCAAGATTTTATAGCCTAATTATAGACACACACAAGGCATTAGTTATTGTATTTCAAGAGAAAATTTTGAAGACACAGAAGCTGCTTTTGAAATATGCCAGGATGGAAACAATTTCTGGTTGTCAGTTGGCTATGGTGGCCAGAAAGATACAATTGTTGAGCAGAGTCTTTGCTTATATGAAAGTGTGTTGCCTAGAATTCTATTTATAGATAGATGCAATAAACAAAAAATGATAGAACTGGAATATACATATAAAATTAACAAATCAAGCTCAGGAGGATGCAGAATAGTTAGCTCAAAATCTGATGACAAAAAATAAGAAACCAGCTAGAAAGTTGTCAAAAACAAAAATACTTCATATTGATGCTTTGATGATAGGCTAGGCAGTAATATTTGAAAAGAATCAGGCATTTGGAAATTAAGAAAGGTGGCATTTATATAGAGAAATAGTGAAACTTGAAACAAGTGCAGCAATTTTAGATGTAAGATCTTTCACAAAGCTTCTGAGCCATTTGTGGATAGACATACATATAGACAATTGTGTAGCTCTAGTTACAGTAGTAAAAGGAGAAAAGTTACTATAACAAAAGGCCTTGTTGAGAGAATTTTGGAGTTTGCTGGATGAGTATGATATTTGGCTAAATGAGACCTTTTGGGTCCCATTAAAAGTAAACCTGGCCAACAAGTTAACCCAAGTATTAGATCCATCCAATTGGAAATTGGCACAGAAAGTGTTTTTAGAATTAGAAGTAAGGTAGGGTCTTTATACTATAGACAGAATGGCAGATCACCAAAACATGAAGCTTACGAGATTCAACAGTTATTTCTATTGTCTAGAAGCCAAGGTAGTAAATTGTTTTACACAAAGTTGTAATGACAAGAACAATTATATTTGCCCCCCTTGGGCTTAATTTATTATATACTTCAGCATATAATAGAAAGAAAAGCATTAGCAATAATAATTGTACAATATGAGTATTAGCAGAGTGGTGGCCAATACTTTTGCAGTATCAAACTGACTAAGTAGAAATTCTACCACCTTGGATAGCATTCAAAATGAGATTATTGGGGAATTAAAGCCATGAAGGAACAAGAAATAGCAGTTTATAGCTGTAAGGGTAAATTAGTTAAAGCCTTGTTGGATAAGTAAAAAATTTAGTAAGAAAATCATATTCAGAAAATTGGAATAAAAGTTGGATAAAGCATAGAAAACTTATTTAGAATATTGTGGAGTTACAGGTTAACATGCTATTCTATCATCAAAAGATTTCCTCTTGTCATGTTTGATTTGATTAGATTTAATGAATACTGTATCAGTTTGTTCAGATATACTTGCAGCTATATCAAGAGAACACCTAGAAAGATCATTATCTAACTAATCAAAGTTATATAATGTTAGAAGGATTTATAAGGCATTGATAAAGGAATCAAGAAAAGATAGAAAGCCAGAATAGCATGTGATTTGCTACTGATTTTTGTGTTAGGAAGGTTTATTATTAATAAACCATGATTTGTAAACATGAATATATAGATATGAGATACAGCTTTGATTGCAATAGGATTAAGAACAATGCATAAGCCAGTAGAATTATGTAATTTGAAGTTGGAGGATATTAAATTTAATAGAAATTTATGTTGGATATGGATTTGTAATTCAAAGAATGATCAGTTTTCTAATAAAAAATTTATTCCTATTGAAATTTCAAATAGCCTTTGTTGCACAGTTAGGTTGCTTAAGAGATATTTATTAATTAGACCAAAACCCCCAAAAAATTGGCCACTATTCTTGTCAAATAGAAAAAAAAAATGATTGTTAGAGCTATTGGAGCTATTGTGAAGAGAGTAGCTAATAATGCATAGTTGTCAGGATGATATAGTATTAGAATTGGTAGTGCCACAGCAGCGATAGAGGCAGATCTATCATTAACTCAGATTCATGCAATTGAATGTTGGAACAGTAAGATGGTTATGTTATATTTATAATCAATAAATACAGCACAGATGAAAGTATCAAAAAGAATAGGATTTTTTTTTAAAAAAAAAAAAAGAATAAAAAGAATGAACAAATGGTAAGAATAATGATGTTAGTAAGAAATTTGGGATTATTATTCTGATCCTCTTCTTGTTCTCACATATGTATTTCCAATGTACAGCTTATAATATATGCATAATAAAGTTGTGTAAATGATCAAGCAATAATAATGACTAGCTTGTTAATGAAGTGACAAGGCTAGCATTATTGCAAGAACATGTGATAATGCATAACCAAGTATATATCAGAAAGAACATGTAAAGTCCTATGATGTAATGGAATTCTTTAAGAGATTGATTTGTGTGAAAATTTCTATAAAAGGAAAATATGGATTTAAATAAAGATTGTTTGTTAGTATTTGTTCTTTTTTTTGGTTTTGCTATTGCTTGCCTTATTGATAGGCTAGCTTTATAGTTCCACCTCTGCCACCCAAAAATATTTGCATAGAGCCAAAGCTCAAATTGGACAAGCCAGCTCTGTAAAAGAAAAGAAAAAAAAATTAATAATAATAAATTATGGCTCACAAACATCAGTGACAGCTCTGTGACTATTGTAGTAATTGTGGCTCATGGATTAAAATATAGCTCTGTAACTATTGTAGTAAGCTGTGATGCACAGACTGTAATAGCAGCTCTGTGGCCATTGGCTGTTTGTAATTAAATGAATCATTGCTCAAAGACTGTTTTTAATAGCTTAATAACTACTTGATAAACAGACCAATAGCAAATTGGTAGTTTGTGTTAGTGTTATATGTGACTAGTTGTACTCTCATTTCTGTAAAAATAGTTGTAATAACCAATTTAATAAAAGTCAATAAAGTATTA